CCATAATTAAGAAAGAAAGTACATATAAGAATGTACAAAGTGTTGCAGCAAAACTTTTGGCAGGAAAAATGATGGCATCACATTCTAAAGCTTCATCAAAATCTAATATTACTTTAAGTGAATAAATAAATATAAATATCTTTGTTCATTAAAAATAATTTCCACTACACCCTAGTTTTATATGATATGTTTAAAGAAGACATTTCAGTTTTTGTTGAGTCCAGATTAAAAGTAATTGATTTCCAATCACATACATGTAATGACACGGAATTAAAGGCAGGAATTCAATGCAACAATCCATGGAATACAGAATATACGCACACCTGGATATCCAGTGTGGTGGGATGCATGGCTGAATAGTAATAGTATCACCGTATATACCCTGGACCAATACATGAATACAATGCAGAAACTGAACAGAAACCAGCTACATGTACATACTAAAAACAACAACAACATGAAACTGTTTACAAATATTTACCTTGCATAATGATGTCATTTACTGGATATTTTACCTGGATTTCATGTTGTTTTGTCGTGTGACGTTCCCTGAACCTATAAACCGCACTAGCACTCATATTAACTATTGTGAACAACACTAATAGCTATTGTCTATTTGCAGCCAAACACAGCTGATGCAGAAACTATATCCCAAATGCCCACTATGGGATGGTCACTACTGCCCGTGGTGATGTACGTGGCAAATTTTGATAATTTTGATAATTTAAATATTAATGCTATGCGATGATAAATGAGATGTGGTGACACCTGGTGATAGCTAGGGGATAATGAAACCGTAAATGTTATCGTTTTATATACAATTCACACAATGTAATATTGTCCCTATAAGAAATGCACACTAGCTATCTATATCAAAGAGAATACAATTCACAAAGGATGCTTTTAAAATGATTAACTGTAAATCGTTTAATTTTTGAGCTACGACGATTTTTTTATGATTTAGGAATAATATGGCATGTGTGAAATTTTGTGAAAGTCGCTGGCACTCCCCTCTATTTTGTAGAACCCCCAGAGATATTTTCACTATTACAAAATTTCACAATTTTCAAGAAATTTATGAAAATTTGTTTTTTACCAAAATTAAAGCAGTTTGCATTCATTAATCTTTTGAACCAACAGTTCCATTTTTTCATCACAAAATTGACCCATTTATAGTCTGCACTTTTCTTCAGAAGATTGGGACAAAAATAGCCAAACTTTTTGATTAAAATTTGAAAATTGACTCAAATTTTGTCTGTTGACTCCAAAATTAGGGTTCATGTTACAGAAATATTGAAGAATATAAGAAAAAAGTACAGAAACATTTGGCTGAGAAAGTCTGGTGGTGAAAAGGTTAATATGGGATCATTTTTGCTCATCCCAAGTATTGGTATATTTTTATATTATTTGTTAAAATTTAATAATTTTATTATTTATATAAATTAAAATTTAGTTCTAGGAAAAAACAAAGAGGGTAGCCAAACAAGCTTCAATAGAAACAGAGATCATTGAATAAATGACCATTTTGGAAAAAAAATGGGTCAAACATTGACCTTTTAAGTTATTAATTCAATTATATTAAAATTTGTGAAAATATTAGGGTTCAATAAAAACATTGGATTTTTCAGCAAATCTCACCGATTACAATTTTTAGATATGATGTAATCATTAAAATAATCAAACTGCAAGAGTACACACTGTACTTAACATAAACAAGAGAAAATTTTACTATTATTTCGTGAAGACTCAAGAGTAATTTTTCAATGATGCCTTAATTTTTGTTTTCTTTCTATATCGAGTGGATCCATAAGACTATTCCGCCTTGAACTCCTAAAAGTAAACTTTCTAAGCACCAAGCATGTCACAGTGACATCATTAAAAGCACTACGAGGTGGATCATTAGAAAACAAATTTGCAAAGAATAAAATCCTGATAAAAATAATAACGGGGAAAAAAAATTCTGCCTGTCTGTTATACTGAATTCATCATTCATTCATGAATTCAAATTGACAGACATGAAGACTTACAATTGCATTTTAATTTGTTTTAACTCAGATCAGTAAGGAAAAAAAAAATTTTTGTTATTATGAACTACTGGTAATTATGAAAGGTTCAATTATTCCCTTTTTCAATTTTGGAATTTAGTTTTGTTATGTTTATACTTGGATGAATAATTATTTTTTTTCGTAATTTTATAGAAAAAATGTTGATCAACAAGACTTGTAACCAATGGCAAATTCTGTCTATTTTAACATAAAATACATAAAAATCATCAAAATGTTGCACCAACATTTTAG